AAAAAAAAAAAAAAAAAAGGAAAAGAAAATCTCAAAAATTAAAGTTAAAGGGTGGTGCCTGTGGCTCAAAGGTGGAGTAGGGCATCGGCCCTACATGCTGGAAGTGGCAGGTTCAAATCCAGCCCTGGCCAAAAACTGCAAAAACAAACAAACCAAAAAAAAAAAAATTAAAGTTAAAATAAAAACAGGGCAGTGCCTGTGACTCAGTGAGTAGAGCACCGGCCCTATATACTGAGGATGGTGGGTTCCAACCCGGTCCTGGCCAAATTGCAATAAAAAAATAGCCAGGCATTGCAGTGGGTACCTGGAGTCCCAGCTGCTCGGGAGGCTAAGGCAAGAGAATCGCCTGAGCCCCAGACCTGAAGGTTACTGTGAGATGTGACCAGCACTCTACCAAGGGCGACAAAATGAGACTCTGTCTCTAAAAAAGTAAAAATAAAAATAAAATAAAAACAAAAATCATACTCAAGGTTTGTTGAGCTTCCTGAATCCATGACTTGAGGTTGTTCTTAACCTATTATCTCCCTCCTTCCTAGACTTCAAATAAAGATGTGTTAGACTTTCTCCCAGTATCTCCTTTATCTCTTTCCCTCTGTTTTAAATTTTCTATTCTTTTTTATCCTTGCTTCACTCTGGGTAGTACCTTCTGTCCTTTTTTCCAGTTTACTTACTTAGTCCTTAGTGGAGTCTAACCTGCTGTTAAGTCTAGCAATTCATTCTTAATTTTGGTTTTTGAATGTTTGGAGTCTGTATTTTCCTTTTTTTTTTGAGACAGAGTCTCACTATGTCACCCTCGGTACAGTGCCATGGCATCACAGCTCACAGCAACCTCAAACTCTGGGACTTAAGTGATTCTCTTGTCTCAGCTTTCCAAGTAGCTGGGACTACTGTCTGCTGCAATGCCTGGCTATTTTTTTGTTGTTGTTACAGTTGTTTAGTTGGCCCAGGGCAGGTTCGAACCTGCCACCCTCGGTGTATGTGGCTGGCACCGTAACCACTGTACTACAGGCGCCAAGCTGTCTTTTATTTATTTTGAGACAGAGTCTTGAGCTGTCACCCTGGGTAGAGTGCCAAGGTGTCTTACTTCAGTTTTTCTAATTTTATTTTATTTTATTTGCAGTTTTTGGCCAGGGCTAGGGTTTGAACCCGCCACCTCCGATATATGGGACCGGCACCCTACTCTCTGAGCCACAGGCGCCACCTGAGTTTTTCTAATTTTAGTAGAGATGAGAGTGTTGCTCTTCCTCAAGCTAGTCTCCATGAGCTCAAGCAAGCCACCCACCTTGGTCTCCCAGAGTGCTAGGATTACAGGCATGAGACACTGGACTAGCCTATATTTTGTATTTACATCCATTTACCCTACCTCTAAGCTTTCTCTAGGAGTGTAGCCTTTCAAGATGCTACCCTGGATCATGAACAAGCCATCCTCTCACCTTGGCCTCCCTGAATGCTAGGATTACAGGAGTGAGGTAGTTTACCAGGGTCCTCACCTGTGCAGACATTTGGATTCCAATTTTTGTTTCATTAGCTGCACACAGCCTTATTTTCTGCCACCAATTCCAAATCAGCAAATGACCCCAGGGTAATAGCAACCCTACTGTTAGGCTCACTTCTCTGCTTTCCTGGTTTTTCATACTCTCACCTAATTCATTATCTTAGTAGTTATTTGAATTTTTTTTTTTTTTGAGGCAGAGCCTCAAGCTGTCGCCCTGGGTAGAATGTTGTGGCATCACAGCTCACAGCAACCTCCAACTCCTGGGCTCAAGCGAGTCTCTTGCCTCTGCCTTCCAAGTAGCTGGGACTACACAGGCGCCCACCACAACACCCAGCTGTTTTTTGGTTGCAGCTGTCATTGTTGTTTGCCGGGCCCAGGCTGGATTTGAACCACCAGCTCAGGTGTATGTGGCTGGTGCCTTAGCCAGTTGAGCCACAGGCACCGAGCCAGTTATTTGATTTTTTAAAAAAGTATTTCATCCAACACTCTTAGCTGTCTACCATTATTGGTAGTCCACCACTACTGAGAGGAGCTCAATTGCTAAACTATGTTTCTAGTCCAGTCATTTATTCTGAGTTCCAGCTCCACTAATCCAGAGGCCGACTGCACCCCCACACTTGGGTATCTATAGGCACCTCAAACTCAATAAACTATAATAACTACTCTCCCCAACCCCCTTTGAGCGTCTCATCTAGTAGAGTCACTGCCACCTACACCTCAGTTATTTGTATAGTGTCTTCTCTTTTGAAAGGCCAGTTGATTCCACTTTAAGAACATCTCCCCTACAACCCCTGGATCCCACCTCCCCATTACAGAACAAAAACATTATGCTTGCCACACAAAAGCTTTCATGATCTGCCCTCCACTGCCTCACTCTTTCCTGCCTCTCTCCTCAGTCATGCTTACATGTACACATCTTATATCCTAGATCAGGGCTGAAAACACAGACTTCTTCTGCAGCCAGGCAGGTAATCTACCTGAGTGAAGCATGATGCCACGGAACCAGCGGGTAATGGACATTCCAGGGATGCAAGTCCTGTATTGCCAGCTTTCCCAATATTCCATGAAAAGTCAAAAAACCAGATATTCATGTCCCGTTAGCTGATTTTTAAGTGTAGGCAATTAAGTAAAAAATATATAGAGAGAATAAAAACCAGACAAAGCATGCCTGCCATCTGAAGTTGGCCCATGAGTCGTCATTTGCTTGATAATATAAGTTTCCCAAAATGCCATCTATAGAAAATGCACTTCAATATTCTCTTATCTCTACATAGAATACCTCTTTCTCTCTGTCTCTTTTTGAGACTGAGTCTCACTCTGTCGCCCTGTGTAGAGTCTTGTGACCTCATAGCTCACAGCAACCTCAAACTCTTGGGCTTGAGCAATCTTCTTGCCTCAGCCTCCCAAGTAGCTGGGACCACAGCTATGTGCCACCATGCCCTGGCTAGTTTTTCTATTTTTAGTAGAGACAGGGTCTCATTCTTGCTCCAGTTGGGTCTGGAACTCCTGAGGTCAAGCAATCCACCCTCCCTGGCCTCTCACAGGGCTAGGATTATAGGTGTGAACCACTGTGCCCCACCTAATACATTTCTCATTTTTTTTTTTTTTCTCTAAGAGACAGAGTCTCACTTTGTTACCCTAGGTAGTGTGCTGTGGCGTCACAGCTCACAGCAACCTCCAGCTCTTGGGCTTAGGCGATTCTCTTGCCTCAGGCACAAGGCCGGTTTTTTGTTGCAGTTTGGCCGGGGCTAGGTTTGAACCCACCAACCTCGGTATATGGGGCGGGGGGCCTACTCTCTGACCCACAGGTGCTGCCCAACCTTTCTCATTCTTCTACCCTGTTGATTTCTCTTTGGAAATTTTCCTGGCCCAATACAAGCATAATTAATTGCCCTTGTTTGAACCCCTTAGCAATTTATCCATGTCTCTGTTGTAATGATTAATACACATTCTATTATGGCTATTTGTCCCAAATAGAGCTCCTCAAAGTCACAGACTATATATATTCATCTTTATGCCCTCATCGCAAGTTCCCTGAGCTTAGGTCCCACGCAGAAGCAGCGGAGATCTGGCGGTGCAACGCCCTCAGTGACGCCTGCTGATCACTAGCTAGCAGACCGACCTCGAGGCGGTTGGGACCAGGGCCTAGCAGTCAAGCGCTTCAAACCCCTCCCCCCAATTTACGCCTCCCATGGTCATTTCCAAGACCACCTCCCACCGCCACCACTGACTGTTTTAACAATCTTTCTCGCAACCAAAAAATAGCCGGGCGTTGTGGCGGGCGCCTGTGGTCCCAGCTACTTGGGAGGCGGAGGCAGGAGACTCGCTTGAGCCCAGGAGTTGGAGGATGCTGTGAGCTGTAATGCCACGGCACTCTACCCAGGGGGATAGCTTGAGGCTCTGTCTCAAAAACAAACAAACAAAAAAAAAAAAGAAAAAACAATCTTTCTCAACACAAAACAAACACACACTCTCATTCCAGGAACAACCCCCGAGGTCACACTTCTCCCACCCCAAGCCACGCGCGGCCCACAGCGCTCCGTTTCTGACAATCTTTTGGGAACTTTCGAGTTAATTCCGCCTTCCCACCTGGTCCAGTTCCCACGGCGAACCCGCCCCGTCTGGCAGGCAGAGGGGGACGAAAAGGGCCGAGTAGGTGAGGGGTGCATGGGTCTCCCACTTGAACGCATTTTCCAGAACCCGTCACCACCACCCCAGACTCACACTCACACTTCCTCCTGCCACGGTCCTGAACAGCACAGAGGAAATCAGGTGGGAAGGGAAGGCGAGGCGGGCGCAGGTGTTCCCGGGGACGCCCACTACATCTCGCTCAGCCAGGCGCCCCGCACTGGCGCCGCGTCAGAGGGCGCTGCTCCTCAGAGCCGAAGAGAGAAAAGGGTGTGCGGGCGTGAGGGTCAAGGGTAAAGTGTGAGGGGCGAGGGTGTGCGGGCATGGGGAAGGGCGTGAGAGTCAAGGGTAAGGTGTGCTGGGAGAGGGTGTGCGGCGGGGGGAAGGGCGTGAGAGTCAAGGGTAAGGTGTGCTGGGAGAGGGTGTGCGGCGGGGGGGAGGGCGTGAGGGTCAAGAGTAAGGTGTGCTGGGAGAGGGTATGCGGCGGGGGGGAGGGCGTGAGGGTCAGGGGTAAGGTGTGCGGGCATGAGGGAGGGTGTTTGGGCGTGGGGGAGGGCGTGAGAATCAAGGGTCAGGTGTGCTGGGAGAGGGTGTGCGGGCGTGAGGGTCAGGAGTAAGGTGTGCGGGTGTGAAGGTCAGAGTTAAGGTGTGCTGGCGTGGGGAGGGCATGCTGGGCGAAGGTGGGTGGGCGTGAGGTCTGGGGGAAGGTGTGTGGGGAGAGGGTGTGCGGAGCGAGCGCAAGGCCTGGGGCAAGCGCTAGCCGGCGACTCCCGACTTTGGGGCGGGGAGGAAGGAGTTAAAGATCCAGGATTGGCTCTTCTGTCACGAAGTCTGGGAGGGACGCGCCCGGGAGGGAGGGTCCAGGGCTTGGCTCTGGTCCTCCACGGCTCCCGCCCGATAGCGGGAGAAGTAGGCTGGCCGGACGCCCCTTCTGGCACACTCGCGGAGGCCGCCAACACTCGCACTGCCCGTCCTCCCTCGCGCTCCGCTCCGTTCTTCTTCCCGGGCACCCGCTCGTTCGCTATCTTTTCTTTCTTTCTCTCTCACACGCAAACACATGCGGTCGCTCTCCCGACGTTGTTCTGGCGCCCATCTGCTCCGCGCAGGCGGCAGTCCGTGCCGGCCCCAGCAGCTCATACGCCCCGCGCCCCTCGCGCCCTCAGCCCTCAGCTGCGGGGCAGCGAGCCTGGGGAAAGCTGACGCCCAGGGCGGTCGCTAAGCCTCGAGGGGTACGGAGGAGGCCGTAGTGGGAGCTCCTGCCCGTGGCTGTGCCCGCTGGGACCATGCCCGGCCCCCGGCGCCCCACCGGCGCCCGCCTGCGCCTGCTCCTGCCCCAGCTGCAGCTGCTTCTCCTGCTCCGGGCCAGCCACGCGGGCAACCTGACTGTAGCTGTGGTGCTGCCGTTGGCCAACACCTCGTACCCATGGTCGTGGGCACGCGTGGGACCCGCCGTGGAGCTGGCCCTGGCCCGAGTGAAGGCGCGGCCCGACCTGCTGCCCGGCTGGACGGTGCGCACGGTGCTGGGCAGCAGCGAGAACGCGCAGGGCGTCTGCTCCGACACCGCCGCGCCCCTGGCGGCGGTGGACCTCAAGTGGGAGCACAGCCCCGCGGCGTTCCTGGGCCCGGGCTGTGTGTACGCCACAGCCCCCGTGGGACGCTTCACCGCGCACTGGCGGGTCCCGCTGCTGACGGCCGGCGCCCCGGCTCTGGGTTTCGGGGCCAAAGACGAGTACGCGCTGACCACACGCGCTGGACCCAGCCATGCAAAGCTGGGAGACTTCGTGGCGGCGCTGCACCGACGGCTGGGTTGGGAACGCCAGGCGCTAGTCCTCTACGCCTACCGGCCTGGCGACGACCAGTCCTGCTTCTTCCTGGTGGAAGGGCTGTACGTACGCGTCCGCGACCACCTCAACATCACGGTGGACCACCTGGAGTTCGCCGAAGGCGACCGCGACCACTATGCCATGCTGCTGCGGACCGTGCCGAGCAAAGGCCGGGGTGAGAGGCGGGTACATCGGGCCCACGGCTTGGCCTCCTTTGGGGCCACCAGAGGCACTGGGACTTTCTGTCTCCTCTGAGCTAGTTTCTGCCTTCTCGCTGCTCCACTTTCCTGTCTCGGCCTCCCTGGTCCCTTCTACTTCCGAGCTTCCATCCTGCTATGTCCTTATCCAGCCCCAGTCCCTTCTTCCTACACTAGCCTCTCCACACTCCTGCCCCACTTGCGGTCCCACCCCCACCCCCACCCCTGTTTTTCCGGAAACAGAGGAGTGAGGACTCTCTGGTGCCATCTCAGCACAGCTCAGTCACAGTCCTTCCTTTCTCCCCATTTCCTCTCTTCCCTACAGCCTTTTCCCCTTCTCCATCCTTCCTGCACATTTCTCCCATACTCCCTCTCCTCTCCTCACACCTCTTCAGTGGGCCCCACCTTTAGCTCCACTTACCACCACCACCACCACCACCACCGTCCCTCTCACCTCCTCCTTTCCCAGTCTTTCTCCTGCCATGAGATCAGCCAAGAGTTGGCACAAAACTCTTACTGGTTTCTCATGCCCCCATCTTTAAACTTCCTGGGTGCCCCAGCTTTCCTACCCTTTCTCCCCCACCCAGTACCTAGGCTCCCGTCTCTGACTACCCTTTTCCCTGCAGTTATCTACATCTGCAGCTCCCCAGATGCCTTCAGAACCCTGATGCTCCTGGCGCTGGAGGCTGGCTTGAGTGGAGAAGACTACGTCTTCTTCCACCTGGATGTCTTTGGGCAAAGTCTGCAGGGTGCACAGGGCCGCGCTCCTTGCAGGCCCTGGGAGAGAGGGGATGGGCAGGATGTCAGCGCCCGCCAGGCCTTTCAGGTGAGCACCTGGGTTTGAAACCCAAGCTATTGAACTCTGAGTTGGTGGCACATCATTTCTGGGCACTGTGTCCCGGGATCTGAAAGGGTGCCAGAAAAGACACTGCGGTGTTCACAGAGAGTTAGGGAATGAAGGGTAGGGGCGGTTCAGAGCCAGGGGGCCAAAAGATAAAAGAATGGGCCTGAGTGGGAGGCCATTAAAGTCCCACATACTAGGCAGGTCATGAAGAGGCCGACTCATTGTGTATATCCTGCTTTGAAGCAGACATCACCTTATGCAGAACATAGGGTCCAGTTTGACCTTGAGCTAAGCAGAAATGCCGCTCTGGGAGATGGCCTCCACATAGCTGAGTCCCCACAATACTAGAAGGACTGGAGTCAGCTCCCAACTCACCCCTCTTCTCTGGCCCCTCCTCAGGCTGTTAAAATCATCACATATAAAGAGCCGGATAATCCTGAGTACTTAGAATTCCTGAAGCAGCTAAAACACTTGGCCCATAAGCAGTTCAACTTCACCGTGGAGGATGGCCTGGTAGGAGGGGGTCCTGGGACCCCCCAACCCCTACTCCATGACCCTCTGCCCATCCCCACCCTTTTGTGTTGCCAGGTCTCCCCTTCTCTCCCTTCCCATTGCTCTCATATCTCTCCTGATGATGGAGAGGGATATGGCAAATTGAATCTCTGAAACTCAGGTTCACATTAGTAAGATGGGTATGATACATCCTGTTCTATCTACCTAGCAGGATTCTAAAGGCTGTGATATATGTAAAGATTTAAGTAGTAAAATTTCTTTGTGATGTGGGAATGTCCTTCTCTCCCACCCTCTTCTGACCTCCCAGTGCCTCCTGTATCCTTCCTCACAGAACCCCACTCTGTGCTCTTCTCACATCCCATCCCAGCTGTGCTCTGCTTGCCCTACAGGTGAACACCATCCCAGCGTCCTTCCACGATGGGCTCCTGCTCTACATCCAAGCAGTGGCAGAGACACTGGCACATGGGGGAACTGTCACCGATGGGGAGGATATTACTCAGCGGATGTGGAACCGAAGCTTCCAAGGTCAGGGCCTAGAAATGCCTAGAATGGGCTGATGGGGGGCGGGGGTTGCAGGTACTCTGCAAGAGGCCACAAGAACCCTGAAATTCTGCAGCACAAGTGTCATGTACCCATGCCAGTGTCTTTTCCTCCCTTCACGGAAGAATCTTCACAGCTTCCTTGAGTCCTTTTTCCCTCCAGAAGTCCTCCTAAATGATTGACTTCAGTCAGTCCTGCTGCTGAGACATCTGTTCCTTATACTATTTACTGTTGCTCTGTACATATACTATATATGTTTGGAGGTCAAGGCCCAGAAAAACAGGAGATGGAGAGATGAAGTGGGGCACCCCTAAACTTCCATTCTTGTAAAGCACAACCATCTTCTCCCACACATCCTCTAGGTGTGACAGGATACCTGAAAATTGACAGCAGGGGAGATCGGGAGACTGACTTCTCCCTCTGGGATATGGATCCTGAGACCGGTGCCTTCAGGGTAAGTTTGCACATGCAGAAGACAGTGCCAACTCAGAATGACACCTCCTTCTCCTCCTTCCCATCCCCAGCCCTGCTATGCACCTGTTTATTCACTCTACCATGCCTGGACACTTAGGAGAGTTCTGGATAAAGCAGACCCATCTCCAGTCTGGGGAGCAACCAGAATGATGAGGAACTCACAGGCATCACACCTGGGGATCCCCAGGTCTGAGGAGGGAGTACAACCCTGCTCTCAGGGAGCTCCAAAGGCAGGCAGATAGGACTGCCCTGCAGCAGAAACAGGCCACCTGAGAGCCTATGGGGATGCACAGCATGCAGGTCCATAAGTGCAGAGGGAACAGGAAGGGATTGAGGCTACAGGAACCAAGGAACAGATCATTCCTGGAAGAGGGGCATGTGGATTAGGCCTAGGCATGTAGATGGAAACACTACCTTTCCTGTTTTCCATGTGTTTCCATCAAGATTATGAATTTCCTGAGTGAGCCTGGGTGTCCTGGCTCATACCTGCAATCCTAGCACTCTGGGAGGCTGAACCAGGAAGATCCCATGAGCTCAAAGAGTTCAAAACCAACCTGAACAAGAGTGAGACCTATCTCTACTAAAAATGAAAAACTATGGCTCGGCACCTGTGGCTCAAGTGACTAAGGTGCCAGCCACATACACCTAAGGTGGTGGGTTCGAATCCAGCCTGGGCCCGCCAAACAACAATGATGGCTGCGACAGGAAAAAAAATAGCCAGGCATTGTGGCGGGTGCCTGTGGTCCCAGCAGCTTGGGAGGCAGAGGCAGGAGACTCGCTTGAGCCCAGGAGTTGGAGGTTGCTGTGAGCTATGCCACGGCACTCTACCCAGGGGGATAGCTTGAGGCTCTGTCTCAAAAAAATAAAAATAAAAATAAAAATGAAACACCTACCGAGTGTTATGGCAGGCACCTATAGTCTCATCTACTCAGGAATCTGAGGCAGGAAGATTGCTTGAACCTAGGATTTTGAGGTTGCTGTAAGCTAGGCTGAGGCCACAGCAACAGAATGAGACTCTATCTTAAAACACACACACACACACACACACACACACGCACACACACACAATCAATCAATCAATAAGTAAACTCCCTGAGGGTAGGGGTGGGGTTCTACATGGCATTTTCTTTCTAAAGCCCTTGTGTAGTTTTCAGGTATTTATACCTTTATAACAATCCTATGGGCATGAGGTTTCTCTATCCAGTCACAGCAGAGGCTTACTGAGGAATTGATAGGCCAGACATTGGCCCTGGAAGCAGAGCTGGGGTAGGTGGGAGGCAGGACTGCTCCACTGGGCAAGAGACCTACCCTGAGCCCTTACCCACCCACTACTCTTGTTCTCCCATAGGTTGTACTGAACTACAATGGGACTTCCCAAGAGCTGGTGGCTGTGTCAAGCCGAAAACTGAACTGGCCGCTAGGCTATCCCCCTCCTGACATCCCCAAATGTGGCTTTGCCAATGAGAAACCAGCCTGCAACCAAGGTGACTGGCTCCATTCTGGAGAGGCTGCATCCTTCCCCCTAAGCGGTGTCCAATAGGTACTCATGCTGAAGGTTTTCTGAAGAAAGACGACTCCTTCAGCTTTTATTGAAATCTATCAAAAAAGAAAGGCTCCTAGGGTGACGCCTGTGGCTCAAAGGAGTAGGGTACTGGCTTCGTATCCCTGAGGTGGTGGGTTCAAACCCAGCCCCAGCCAAAAAAAAACTGCAAAAAAAAAAAGAGAAAGACTCCTCCTTCCCCCTTTTCCTCTTCATCCATCATCCCAATTCACTGATTGACTATTAGAAGGTTCTTCCTTCTGTTATCTAACCCAAATCTTTCTCTTTTTTGAGACAGTCTCATTATGTCACCTTCAGTAGGTGCTGTGGCATCACAACTCACAGCAACCTCAAAGTCTTGGGCTCAAGCAGTTCTCTTGCCTCAGCCTCCCTAGTAGCTGGGACTACAAGCATCTGCCACAATGCCTGGCTATTTTGTTGTATTGTTGTTTAGCAGGCCTGGGCCGGGCTGGGTTCAAACCTACCAGTCCTGCTACATGTGGCCAGTGCCATAACCACTGAGCCACAGGCGCCACCCATAACCCAAATCTTTCATGGAGCATCTTGGAATCTGTCTTACAGACCTCTTTTCCACCATGGAGGTGCTGGCTTTAGTGGGCAGCCTCTCCTTGCTCGGCATTCTCATTGTCTCCTTCTTCGTATACAGGTGAGCTTGACATGCAAGTGGTGAGTGAGGCTGGTGGGGGGGGTGTGGTGCCTGGAGAAGCAACAGCAGAGGAGTGGCCAAGACCCTGTGAGAAGAGGGAAGAAGTGAAGGGCAGGAGGGAGATGAGGGCTTCGGAACACAGAAGGAGAGAGAGGGGGATGGCAGGGTTAAGAAGGGACAGGGAGAATCTGAAAGATCCAAGGAGGAGCAGGGAAGTAGGGGTGATGTCATGAGGGGCATGGATTCTGCTAGTGGACTGGTCTCCCTTGCTGTTCCTGCAGGCCAGGCAGGACGTACTGCCTCAGAGCCTTTGGAATTAGGCCCCAACTAGTGAACAAGGACAACAAGCCCTGCTGTGTGCTGAGTTACCACAGCTAGAGTAGAGAAGATAACTGAGTGGGCCCCATTGCTGCATTCTTGTGGAAGTCGATATGAAAGGACAGGAGAACTTAATATAGCACAGCAGGAGGGAGGGGAGAAAATCAATACTGGTCACACATAAATCATACAGGAGACACTTTACACACAGTATTTCTTTTTTTTTTTTTGAGACAGAGCCTCAAGCTGTCCCCCTGGGTAGAGTGCCGTGGCATTACAGCTCACAGCAACCTCCAACTCCTGGGC